CAGTTACGTAGCTACCATGTGTGGAAATATGTGGCATATATAAATAGAAAGAAGTTAAAACATTTTCAGTTGTGTTCCAGAATGATCACTTTGCGATGGATTATGATATTAACTGGTATGATCTGATGTTAGCGATCAGAAGACCGTAAGCTCAGCTTGCGGAGTCCTCAGGTGCCACGCATTATAACCATAGGGTATTGAGCCATTGTCAGTAAATACCGCACTTAAAGTAAATTCTACTATCGAAATAAAATATATACAAAAATAATGCTCGAGTAATATAAAATCTTGATGTATTTTTTAGATCACACGCCTCAATCTACAGTTTAGTTACATGGTCATGCAGTTCAACGAATGAAGCTGTGCCTGAAAACAGCATAACAAATCTTAAAGTAAATAGTGGTTTATTTCGAAACACAGCTCAAATATATTATTATAGCTCATATATTTGCTTTTTCAATATGGTGGATCCTTGAGTTTATTAGCAGTTTCTAAACTGTCCTAGATCCTTTTAAAGAATGGGCTTTGAAGTAACACGTTAGGTCTAGTAAACCTGCAACATAGGACGTACCACAAAAGTAGGAAGGGGCAATAAATGTTTTGTAGAGCATATCACAGTTATCTTATCCTTAGATCTCACGTTTAGAAACTTGTAAAGTGGAACTTCATCTTTCTTTGCGAACGTCCAGCCTTCAACTGGTTCGAGGATTATCTTCCACTTTTCCAATTACCCCATTTAAAAGACATTGCAGCTAGAATGTAAAGCTTAGAATAAAGTTCTATCATATGCGAACATCATAAAGAATATTTGTACTTATAAAACAATCACCCATCTTGAAATCCATCATTATTATTGAATATTCCATCGAAATCACGTCCAGCACGCAAGGAAAAATAGACCGTGGAGAGTCGATCGATGCCGTTCGCAGTCTGACTGACGGCATGGAACGACTTGGCGCATTTACGTTGGCGCATTCAACCGTTAAACGACATCGTTGCTCTATAGGCTCTGAAAGTTCCAAGAAGATTTCGACCGAAATTTCGTTCAGCGATGAGGTCCATTTCTAGCTCAATGAGTATGTAAACAAGCAAATTGCGGCATTTGGAACGAAGAGCAACCTGAAGAGATTCAAGAGCTGCCATTTCATCCAA